TCGATTTGACAGACACTTAGTACAGCAAACTCTTCAGCAGAGCAAATAATTGCTGCCTGTTTGAACAGTAGGGGAGAGAAAATGACAGTCTAACAGAAGACAAGAAAAGCAGAACTGGAATCAGCAGCCTTTTCTTCCATCTCTCACGAGAAAGTCGTGTTTCTCTGTTCTAACAATTCTATGCCCTTTTCTACGTGAAACTTACACCAAGGCTGAAAAAACAACTAGAAAACACGGAGAGAAGCTTTTCAGAATTTCACGTGATTTTCCCAACCCGATCCCAGAAAAGCAGAACTGGGTAGAATGGACTCACCTCGAGGCCTTTGGTCTTTTTTTCCATAAGCTTCGTCACCTGATTGAAAAAGCAGAGTAGACTCGGTATTTAGGCTCACAACAGGAAAACTTCCCCTTCGTTTCCTAAAAGAAAGGACATTAATCTGCACAGCTGCAGGCGCGTCTCCAGCTGTTAAAGCCTTTCAGCTTTTCAGAGGGTGAGAATGCCCTGCTAAGGAAGGCTGAAAAATGCTGGGAGCCTGCCCAGGTCAAAGAGCCCCTTGATTTTGTCTGTGTTCCAGTCCCTGGCTAAAGAAAGGGCAGAACCACCGCAGGTGTTGCTTGCCTTTTCCCTACGAGGTTTTGCCAGGCGCTGGGCCAGCCCGGGCACTGCGGGGGAAGGCCGGCAGTGGCCAAAGCCCGCCGCTTTCCCAGGGCAAGCGTCGCTTGCCAGAGCGCCCCCGAGCGCCGGGCCCTGCCTCACAGTCGCCGCCTGGCGGACACGGCCGGGAGCGGCACTGCAGCCGCGCGCCCCCCCCCCCCCCTTGGCGAGACCCGCGGCGCCTTTCGCGCGTCCGGGCCTTTCTTCCCTAAAACCTGCCCTTGCCTAGGAAAAGCTGAGCAGTTCACAGAGTTGCTGTTTCCAGCCCAGCTTCCCAAAGGATTTCTCTCTCCCGGCAGCACAGACAGGGTCCCCGAGGCAGCGCAGACCCTCCCCGCGGGGGGGTGTGGTGCGTGTGCAATGCCAGGGCACATCCGAACCCGGCCCTGCGGCGGCACGCAGGTGCAAGTTTCTCCGCAGAGGCGAGAAAGCTGCCCGTCGCTTCCCCTGCCTGCAGGCCCCGCTGGCCGCGGGAGAGGCAGAAGAGCGGCCGCCGCCCCCCCGCCGGGCCCCCGCTTACCCCGGCGACGATCTCCTGCAGAGCCCGACGTCGGATCTGCCGCCGTGGGTCGCTTCCGGGGGGGGGGGGGAGGCGGCGGCGCAGCCCCGACAGCATCTCCGGGGCACGGCGGGACCGACCGGGAGCGGAGCGGAGCGGAGCGGAGCGGAACGGGGGCGGAACGGGGCGGGAGGACGGCGACCGCGTGGGATCGTCGCGCGTGCGCGGCGCGCCGCGGCGCGAGAGGGGTCTGCCCGCGCCGGTGCCTGCCGCCGCCCGCGAACCTGCCGCCCGCGCCCGGCGCCGCCGAGCGCCCCGCCCCGTCCCCACAGCGGGAAGCGGCGCGGCGAGACGGCGCTGCGGGCGCGGGGCGGGGGTCCGGGTCGCGGCGGAGGTCAGGCAACAGGATAGACGCCTCTCTGAGGCCAGGGCGGGGGCCTCTCGCCGCCATCTTGAGTGTGGCCTCGGCTAAGTTCCGGTCCTGGCGGCGCCATCTTGAGTGTGGCGTCGGGGCGAACTTCCGGGCCGGGGCCGCCATCTTTAGTGTGGTCGTTCCGGTCCTGGCGGCGCCATCTTTACTGTGGGCTTGGCGGACTGCCGGGCCGGGGCCTTGGAGGACTTCCGGTCGCTCTCTACTTCCGGTGACCGAGTTTACCCAAATTACCGGCCCTCCTCGCTAATTTCTGCGCTTTCACCCCAAAAAATCTTCACGTTATTCCCCCCACACACACCCCGCCAGAGACGGGAGACCGCCAGTCCCGCCCTGCCGCCGGAACCGGCCCTTAACTCGAGCGGGGAGCGCTGCACCGCCACGAGAGCCACTGCGCATGCGTCGCCGGTCCCGCTCCTGGCTGCCCTTACTTACCACGTGATCGCCGGCGTCTTGCCAACGACTGCGCACGCGCCGCCGTCGCCACCTTGCCTGCCCCCCCCACCCCGCCGCCCGACCGCCCGGCTTCGCTTTCTTACTGCGGCTCCCCCTCCGCTTTTTCGGCTCCCTGGGGTTCCCCCACCCGCATTTTGGGATCCCCGTCTCACATTTGAGGGGTGATGACCCCGCAATTTACGGGTCGGGGGGCGGGAGGAGAGGAAACGGGGTGCCCAAGAAGGGGTTTCTTTTTTTTTTTCTTTTTCTTTTTTTTTTTCTCTTTTATTTCATTTTCATTTTAATTTCCTTTTTTGTTTTTTTGCCTTTTTTTTTTTTTTTTTTTTTTTTTTTTTTTTTTTTTTTTTTTTTTTTTTTTTATTTTCTTTTGTTTTTTATGTTTCATTTTTTTATTTCGTTTATTTTTTATTCTCTTTATTTTTCATCTTCTCTCCCAGTGCTCCCCAGTAAACACCCAGAGCTCCCCAACAACCCCCAGGAACACCCAGTGCTCCCCAAAAATTGACCCAAAACCGACCCAAATCACCCCAAAAGCTGACCCCAAACTGACCCCAAAACCTGACCCAAATCATCCCAAAACCTGACCCAAAACTGACCCCAATCACCCCAAACAGTGACCCCAAACTGACCCCAAAACCTGACCCAAATCATCCCAAAACCTGACCCAAATCTCTGCATTTATTTGGCACCATTTCCTCCCAGAAACAACATCTCCGATTTAGTTGATTGCTAAAGCCATCATTTTAAAACCATCTCAGGAATCAAAAGGCACTGGAAAACACACACAAATCATTCCTGCACCCACCAAATCATTAGGAATTGGAACCCCATTCCCTCATCTCTCTCCTTGTGCTTCTTGGCTGGAAAACCTGATGATCCCCGCTGGCTATTTTTAGGCTGCTTTTCTTCCACAGCTCCTTTCCTCCCGGCTGAAACCTCCTGGCACATTCAGGGCTTATCCGGAGGGAAGCCCCTCTGAAGTATTTCCTCCCGTGGCAATTCTGTGGGATGAAGAAGGAAAAAAGCACGTCAAGAGCTCCTTCTCCCCCCTTCCCTCGCAAACACCCTCCCAGTTTGTCCTTGGCAGCTCCATGCCCCCGGCACCCGCACCCGACGCTTCGGCTCCGCTTGGAAAGGGACAGCAAGTGCACAAGCAAGTTCAGTGCTGGGCAGGGGCTCCCTGGGGAACGGCACTTCAGTGCTTTAGTCCGTGGCCTTTCCTGCTGCCCTCCCTCCCGGAGGCAGAGGATGACCCGGCCCTTGTTTCTCCCACGCTCGCAGACCCAGGTCCTGCTCCTTTGGCCCCACTTTTCTTAGCAGACCCGGCATCATTTCCCAGGGTCCCCAGGAAACTTCTGCACTTGACCCATTGCTGAGTGCAGAGCACAGGGCGAGGGAAGGACAAATTTCTCGGCACCCACCCCCTGGAATTTTCCTTCTCCGCAGCACGCTCCCGTTCCCGCTGTCTCTGGAGGTGCCCGCACGAGTCCTCCTTCTCCCAGCACCTCAGAGAATGTCCTCTTCACCCGGGTCCTGCTTACCGGCGTCCAACAAAACACGCTGACGACATTTTTCAGGATGCCAGTGGAGAGATATTAGAGCACACTGCCCAGGGAAGCTGAGCCTGCCCCATCCCTGCAAGTGTTCCAGGCCGGGCTGGACGGGACTCGCAGCAACCGGGGACAGTGGAAGGTGTCCCTGCCCACGGAAGGCAGGCTGGCCTTTGAAGGTCCCCTTCAAACCAAATCGCTCTGGGATTCCCCTCCAAAATCGCTCCCCAAGAGACACAGCGAGCAAAGCAGAGGGACTGCACTCCCAGCTTTTCTTACCTGCAGGCACACACAGCACAGCACAGCACAGCACAGCACGTTGGACAGAAAAGCCACGGGGTTAGTCCTGCCAGAGGCGTCCGGCACACCCACGGCGACCGAAGGAAAACAGGGAGCCTGGGAACACGGAGTAAAAGACACCTTAATTAGGACCACACCGAGCACTAGCCAGGTCATTCCCACAGCTTCACTGTCCCGTCACACAAAAAGCACTCACCGAGGCCTCAGGTAGGATGGCTCCTGCCGCTGACCAGGTGAATACCTCCCTGGAAGCCCGCTCCGCTCCTGCCAGGCACTGGGGCTCACCCAGGGGGGCTTTGCCAAGCATCCAATGGAAATTAAAATTACAGCCTGGGCAAAGGCGCTTCCCGCAGGACCGCTCCTGGCCAAGGCCACCGGTCCGTGCAAGTCAGACCGCTGACCAGCCGGGGGGATTTTCGGGGGCACGCTTCCAGCTTTTATTCTCCAGAAACTCCAGTTCTGTCTGGCACCGCTTGCTTCAGTCTTCCCCTGTTGGAAGAGGTCACTTAAGGCTTTCGAGGGGCCAGACTGCCAAAGCCCGGCCGGTCCATTCCCACGAGGAAAGGTAGCTTTGTCTTGGACAGGATACTGGGGGGGAGACACAAAATAAAAGTTTAATTTAAAACAACTGCCTAGAATAGAAAGCAATTCAAACATAAGGCAGACAAGACTCGTGCAAATCTGAATCCATTTGGCTTCAAAGGAGAATTATTTCCCTCTGCACCTAACAGAATGTCCTCTTCACCCGGGTCCTGCTTACCGGCGTCCAACAAAACACGCTGACGACATTTTTCAGGATGCCAGTGGAGAGATATTAGAGCACACTGCCCAGGGAAGCTGAGCCTGCCCCATCCCTGCAAGTGTTCCAGGCCGGGCTGGACGGGACTCGCAGCAACCGGGGACAGTGGAAGGTGTCCCTGCCCACGGAAGGCAGGCTGGCCTTTGAAGGTCCCCTTCAAACCAAATCGCTCTGGGATTCCCCTCCAAAATCACTCCCCAAGAGACACAGCGAGCAAAGCAGAGGGACTGCACTCCCCGCTTTTCTTACCTGCAGGCACACCCAGCACAGCACAGCACGTTGGACAGAAAAACCACGGGGTTAGTCCTGCCAGAGGCGTCCGGCACACCCACGGCGACCGAAGGGAAAGAGGGAGCCTGGGAACACGGAGTAAAAGACACCTTAATTAGGACCACACCGAGCACTAGCCAGGTCATTCCCACAGACAGCTTCACCGTCCGGTCACACAAAAAGCACTGACCTACCAGGGCCTCAGTTAGGATGGCTCCTGACGCTGACACCTCCGTTTGCCCCGGGGGGTCAAGAAGAACATCCCTGGGAAGAAGTCACCCTGAACAACAAAAAGGCAAAATTAGTGAAGCACGGGGGCCTCTTCTGACTAGATTGCCACCAGCATTCCATAGCAAATGCCACGACTATTCTGTTACAGACGAGAAAACCCTGTACTCCCAAACAAACAGCCAGGAGGTTTATGGGCACGCCTGAAAATTTCCTGTGAGGAGCTTTTTGTAACTAAGGAGCAGGTGCTATCTTGAGTTGAAGGCATCGATTTGACAGACACTTAGTACAGCAAACTCTTCAGCAGAGCAATTAATTGCTGCCTGTTTGAACAGTAGGGGAGAGAAAATGACAGTCTAACAGAAGACAAGAAAAGCAGAACTGGAATCAGCAGCCTTTTCTTCCATCTCTCCCGAGAAAGTCGTGTTTCTCTGTTCTAACAATTCTATGCCCTTTTCTACATGAAACTTACACCAAGGCTGAAAAAACAACTAAAAAACACGGAGAGAAGCTTTTCAGAATTTCACGTGATTTTCCCAACCCGATCCCAGAAAAGCAGAACTGGGTAGAATGGACTCACCTCGAGGCCTTTGGTCTTTTTTTCCATAAGCTTCGTCACCTGATTGAAAAAGCAGAGTAGACTCGGTATTTAGGCTCACAACAGGAAAACTCCCCCTTCGTTTCCTAAAAGAAAGGACATTAATCTGCACAGCTGCAGGCGCGTCTCCAGCTGTTAAAGCCTTTCAGCTTTTCAGAGGGTGAGAATGCCCTGCTAAGGAAGGCTGAAAAATGCTGGGAGCCTGCCCAGGTCAAAGAGCCCCTTGATTTTGTCTGTGTTCCAGTCCCTGGCTAAAGAAAGGGCAGAACCACCGCAGGTGTTGCTTGCCTTTTCCCTACGAGGTTTTGCCAGGCGCTGCGCCAGCCCGGGCACTGCGGGGGAAGGCCGGCAGTGGCCAAAGCCCGCCGCTTTCCCAGGGCAAGCGTCGCTTGCCAGAGCGCCCCCGAGCGCCGGGCC